ATCGGGATGGCGCGAGATGACAATCTCGTGAGCGAGATGACAATCTCGTGAGCGAGATCACAATCTCGTGAGCGAGATACCAATCTCTTGAGAGAGATGGGACAACCTCTCTGCCGACCTCGATCACTAGTCACGCCGGGGATGGCCATCCTTCACACAGGCAGGGGAGGGGGGGCAGCCAAGGCCACGGCGGCGGAGGCCACGGCGGCGGGGGCGACGGCGACGCGCGGGACAGCGGCGGCGGAGGGGACGGTGTAGTGGCGGGCGACGACTCCGGCGGGGCGGCGGTGACGGGGTGGTGGCGGTTGTGACGGTGACGACGGTGGTGATGAGAGACGGGGTCGGCGCTGACGGTGACGGCAGCGGCGACGGCAGTGGAGGCGATGGGGTGAAGAGTAGCCCTCACCGTGAGCCCTCGCTTGTCTGAGGACGGAATCCGATCCATTGACCTCGTCGCACACGCGAGACCTTCCTTGTGTCGCACGCAACGCCGTAGACGCGCCAGCTCGCAATAGCTGCCGTACTCGCAACCTCAACTAATCCGTCGCCCTTTCCTGTTTTGGCGTAGGGAAATCAAGCGGCGGTGCATGAGCAATCAAGTTTCAGTCTCACACACGTCTGAGCACACGCACACGCACAGAAACATGGGGCACACCGCGCACACGCACAAGAAACATACGGGGCACACGCACACGCAGAAACACGGGGGGCAGACGCACACGAGGCGTTCACTTCTGTGCGATCTCAGGAGAGGGTTGTGCAGCGGCAACAGTATAGCGAGCCGAATCTCGGTCGAGCGAGGTGTGATCACATCGCTCACGACCTCGCAAGCGCCCGTAGCGTGGTGTCCATAGCCGCATTGTCCTCGCCGTGCACGTCTCTGGTTTAGTGCGCGCGATACGCAGGGAGGGCGGCTTTCCTCTCTAACATAGCAAATAAGGCGTCGGGCCGACGCTTGTTATGCAGCGTCTGGCGCCAAGTGGGGCGATCGGCGGCGATCTCGGGCCTCGAGTTCGGGCCACCTTGAGCGGTCGACGGGCGCTGCGGATGCAACGCCCGTACGACATGTTGGGGCATCCGATCGGCCGGTCGTGGGGGGCACCCATGAGCTACGACGAGAGCATGCGACGAGGAGGCGATTGGAATCCACCCTGCTGATATGCCCGAGCCAGTCCAGCCGGCGTCGGGTCGTAGTAGTCGATGAATCGAGGCCTAGCCTCCTTGGCTCGGCTCATGATAAACTGCCGCATGGAGCCCGCGGTGGCGAAGGGTGTGCACGCGATAAAGAGGCGGCATACTCGCCCATCGCATCACCCGGTGAAGAGTGGTTCAGCTTGCACCTACAAATGTGGGCACCACGACGCGCCTCTGTACCACGACGCACCATGGCAGGATGCGGCCATTCAACGGCACAGCGGTGCACTACCACCTATGTCCTTGTGTCCATCGTGCTGCTCCTGTTTCTTGCGCCGTTTGTGACGCCGCCTGCGCGCGGTTTTACGCGCCGCATTTACCTGCGCCGCTGCGCCGTCGCATGCATTCCCCTCTTGCGTTCTGCATTGCCTCATGCCTTCTCCGCATTGCGCACGGCGTCATTGCCTCTTATTCTCACCAGGCAAACTTGCGGCGACTATGAGATTATTATGCGATATCTGACTTCATCTATCGTGGCTGCTGTCTGCACTCCTCCTCCACTCCCTCCTCCACCACTGCCATTGCCATCGCCACTGCCATTGCCGTCAACCAATGCCATCGCCGCGCCTGCGGCAGAGTGCTGTGCCGGCACAATCAACCACGCAAGCAGCGACAGCGCGAGAGCATGGGCGAGCCCTAAGCTGCCACAGGAGTAGGCGGCCTTCCGCCGCGCCGAAACAGTAATTGAGACCGAAGCGTCAAAACTGCGCACTGAAGCGACAAAACTGCGCACTGAAGCGACAAAAATGCGGACTGAAGCGACAAAAATGCGCACTGAAGCGACAAAAATGCGCACTGAAGCGACAAAAATGCGCGCCGGAGCGACAAACTTGGTTTGACGATGACGCCGGTCGCGTGCAGGCCTCTGTCCGCAGCGGCTCAGGCCTCCTCGGCCGTCGCAGCTCGCCCGTCTCCTCGCCTCCCCGCAGGGTCCATTCATCGCGCTGGCTGCAATCTCCGCCGGGCCAAAAGCCGCGCCACCACGAGTCGTCATCGGCAGCTCGGACTGCACTAATAGTACCCAGCAGCCTCTGCAGACTTGCTTCTCCCACGGAGGCAGCCGTCACCACCACTACATTGGTATCACGCTGCTGCAAACGATAGATCACAGGTGTGTTGTGCATCTCAGCGTGCTGGCCGCCATCACGCATGCACCCGCTGCCGATCGTTTGTGCCGTGACATTTCACGCCGCTGTTGCTATCTCTGCCTTCGGTGCCGCTACGCTGCTTTCGCTTTCGCCACTGCTGCATTGCAACATTTGCCAGTGGCGCGACCGCTCCGCACTTGGAGCCGAGGCTCATTCCTCAAGCCTCGCTGGCGTCATTCACCAACACTTCTGGGTCGCGGACACGACTGCCTCATTCACCAATACTTCAAGACGGCTCGTTTCTTGCACCCGCTGTGTCCACTTCCCACCCCCTCGCCACGGCCATCATCGTCGCTACCGCTGTGCCACGTCGCAACCGCCCCACCTGCCACCGATCATGCCGCTGCGGCTTAGCTTTCATAGGTGCCGTTGCCACCGCGTTCATTCTGGCCACACCGCCTCCGCCACCGCACGTTGATCATCGCCGTGCCGCCGACGTCCAAGCCGACGTCCAAGCCGTCGTCGCTATCGCCGCTCCCGCCTCACGATGGTTTGGGCGATCTCGCTCTCCCGCCTCCTGGGGACCTGGGGATGCCTGGCCTCTAGTGCGCTACTCGAGTGGGCTCTCTGTTCAAAATATTGCCAAATTACGCACACATGTGCGCAGATAAACATCCTTAGAGTGCCACACACATTCTTTCCACGTGCGAATGTTCGGGTCGTCAACCGAGCTGACCGCGCCCCCCCCCGGGGGGGGGGGGGCAGCGCGGGGCTATCGTGGACACGTGGTCACGGGGGAGTTGCACACGCGACACGGCACACCCAGCACGCGGTGCGGCCACTCCCACGCCGGCGGGGGCGCACGCGGTGTGATGTTTGCATCTTATTTGCTCGCAAAATGACAAGTTTGCGTGCAAATTTGCTGCAAATTTGACATTTCAAATCCATAAGAGTGACACTATGGATTCCGGGTGACACAGGTTGAACACAGAGGCACAGTGCGCACCCAAAGCTGCGTTTCTAAAAGAAAGAAAGAAAACAGACATCCCAAGGGAGGGATGGGAGGACGGCACGCCGCCACCACACAGGGATTTTAAGGAAAGAAAGAAAGAAAGAAAACAGACAACCCAAGGGAGGGATGGGAGGACGGCACGCCGCCACCACACAGGGATTTTAAGGAGAGGAGTGTGATGCGCTAGCCGTCGCCAACCCTAGGGAGTCCGCCTCTTCCTATCTCTCTTCGCAGTCTCTCTCCGATTCTCGCTGCAACCTTCGTGCCACCTCGCGGTCTCCCCCTTCTCGTCGTGCTCTCCCTTGTCGCTTCTTCCTCTGTCGCGTCGCTCTCCTCTGCCTCGTTCTGCGACGCCGCCGCCGCCTGCCGTTCCCTTGTTCTCTCGGCTTCTTTCGCCTTTCGGCGCAGCTCCGCCCTCCTTGCTGCATATCCTGGCCCCTCGAGTCTATCGAGCTCTCCTCGCGCAAGGACGAGTCTTCTGATGCCCACTGCGATCATTTGCCACCCAGTCATGTCGTTGCTCAGGTCCACTCTCTCTTGTTCGAACACTTGTGCCTTCAGCTTCACGGATGATGCCGGCGCTGGGGTCCCCTTCGGGTGCATCGTGACGGCTGACAACGGGATTTCCACTGGTTCGTCCTCCTCGGAGTCGTCTTCCCCCGCTGCCTTCCGCTCGGCTCCTCGCTCGGTACGTTCGGTGTGGCTCACCCTCCATGCCGTGAACAGGCGCTTTATCCACCCTATATTCTTCTCTCGTTCCTCTGCCCGTGCCTTGGTCTTGTCGTTGTTTCGCATCCATGTCTGTATGGCAGTCGAGGCTGCCTTCCCCACTACCTCTGTAGTTCACTCGTCACCTCCCCCGCGAGCTCCCTTTTCTTTCTTTCGGGTATGGGGTCCGTGAGTGCGGGCAGCGTGCATGCAATCACGGGCGCTATTTTGTCGTACTCCTCTTCGGCGAGCGCTCCAAATCTAGACCCTTTCGCCTTTAAGGAGGCTGCTCTCGCTCGTCTCAGGATTTTAATAAATAAATAGAGCAGTCATCTCCAGGGAGAGATGGGCGACGCACACGAACACAGAGGGACAGTGCGCACCCCGCCCCGCTCGCAGGGCGTGCAGCACACAGCAACACAAGACATATCTAGGCGCTGTGCGCCTCCTCGGGATTTCTGGGGAGGTAGGAGTGTGTGTGTGTGTGTGTGTGTGTGTGTGTGTGTGTGTGTGTGTGTGTGTGTGTGTGTGTGTGTGTGTGTGCTCGCTCGCTCGCTCGCGCGCGCCGCTTGCGCGATCGCGCGCGCTGCGCGAGCCGCCCTGCCCGCTGCGCTGCTAGGGATGCGCTGCGGGAAGGGCTCGGCGGCTTAAAGGATTTTAAGGACTTACTTCTTGTCGTAAAAATCTTTTTATCGCTGCTCGCCGCTCCGGCCACAAGTATTCGTGTGTGTATATGCACCGCGTCGCTGCGGACGAGGTCGCCCTCTCCGGCTCAGGCTACGCAGCCGCGGCGCTGCAGGCGGCGCTGTCTCAGTGGCTTGTCGCCGGCGGCCACGTGCTGCTCCGTGGCTGCCGTGACCAGGCGCTCATCGCGGCGAGCGCGACAGCGTTTGCGCTGGCTCAGGCCGCAGGCGCTCTCGACGCCGAGGCCGAGGCGCTACAGCTCACGCTGCGCTCCCTCAACGACGGCGCTGAGCGCGGCCCGGAGCGGCAGCGCGAGCGGCATGTGCCGCCGGGAGCGGACGACGCCTCGGACGGGAGCTCGGTGCAGGCCTCACTCATCGCGGCGAACGTGCACGGCGGCAAGCCGGAGCGGCCGCTGGTGCCTCCGCCGCCGTCTGCCGACCTCCCGCCCGGCTGCGTGCGGGCGCCCGACGGCTCGCTCCGGCTGCTGTCGCCGGCGCTGCTCTCTGCGGGTGAGTGCAACCTGCTGGTGGCGGGCGGGGTGGCGATGATGGCGGGGGCCTTCTCGCGCCGCGGACAGACGACGCTCGGCATCTCGCCCGCCCTCTCGCACCGCCTCGCCGGCCAGCAGCCCCTCGCCCGCGCGGTGCCGCCGCCGCCCCGCCGCCAGCCGAGCTGTGGAGGGGCGGTCTTTTCACACCGCCTGGCTGTGAACAGGTGCCGCTACTGTACCTCGCCGTCGAGCGGGCGCGCCGCCGCGTGTGCACCGCCTTCGGCACGCCGCCCGAGCGCACCCGCCTCTCCGACGCCACGCTCACCCGGCTAAGGCCCACACCGCCCCTCGACGGAGCTGAGGAGGGCGGCGGGCGGGACGGCTGCGCAAGGCTGTGAACGGCGCCTCGTCAGGCGGCGAGGCTGTGAGCAGGCGGAGGACGGGCGGCTGGCGAGCGAGGCTGGCGCCTTCGACGTCGGCCTCTGCCGCGGCGACCACTTCAGCTACTGGCGGCCGCACATCGACAAGGTGCGCGCAGTGCCCGAGCCTATCCCTGACCCGAACCCCGTCCCTACCCCAGCTGCCCTAACCCCGACCCCGACCCCGACCCCGACCCCGACCCCGACCCCGGACTATCCCCAGGACTCCGTGCCAGAGCCTACCCTAACCCAACCCCGACCCTACTCCTCTGACCCTGACCCTCACTAGCCCAAGCTGTGGCACCCAATGGCCGGTGATATGTGCCGCGCCCCACTCAGACCAGGCCGCTTGGCCGGAGCGCAAGTCTGTCCACTCTCCCCCCCACTCTCCCCGCAAGATGGTCTCCACTCTCCCCCCCACTCTCTCCCCCCCCCGCAGGTGTCCGTGCCCGAGTACGAGCACTCCGCCCTCCTCTACCTCGGACATCACGGCGCGGACTTCGACGGAGGGCGGCTGACCTTCTTCGACCCGGACGCAGACGCGGTGTCGCTGCCCCTTGCGCCCTCTGCCCTCCCTGCGCAAACCTCTTCACGCCGCGTCCGTGGTGCAGGTTGTGCTGCCCGAGGCCGGGCTCCTCGTCTCCTTCCCCTCGGGGCCGCCCTCGCTGCACGCCGTCGAGAGAGTCTCTCGAGGGGCGAGGCGACGCCCCCCCGACGCCCCAGCCTGAGATCTGCCCGAGAGAAGGCCGAGGCCATGCACGAGGCCTGGCCGAGGCCTGGCCGAGACCTGGCCGAGGCCTGGCCGAGGCCCGAGCGGCGCGGGCCCGCCGTTCGCTCCTCGCCCCGTGGCCGCGTCAGCTGATCCCGCTCCGTGCCCCCCCCCCGCAGGTTCGCTCTCACGATGTGGTTCACAACCGCGCCTCCCGACCCGTCCTCGCCACTCGACTCTGCCCACGCACGCCCCCGCCTCGGCCGGGCGCACACCGCGGCGGCGGCGCTTTCACACCTCCGGCTGTGAACAGGCCGCCCTCCTCGAGTGGGCGAGCCGCGCGGCCGACGCCGAGGACCCCTCCCCCTCCCCCTCCCCCTCCCCGCCCCCTCCGCCTCCTCCGCCTCCTCCGCCTCCTCCTCCTCCTCCTGGCTGCTGCACCGAGGGGCTCCTGACGCGCGAGGACGCTCTCGCCTCGGCCGCGCTCTGCTCGCTGCCGCCAAACGACCCGCTCTGCGCAGCTCTCCTGGCGAGCCGCGCGCGCGGCGCCTCCTCGCTCCCGCTGCTGCTGCGGCGCGCCCTCCGCCTGCCAGCACTGCTACCCGGCGCACTGCCGCCCGGCGAGTCTGCCGCCGGCGCGACTTCGTCTGGGTCGCGCCTGCCCGTCTGCGCCAGCACCAACCCCCTCGCGCGCGCGCCACGCCTCCCCGAGCCGGGAAAGCCCGCCCTCCCCCTTCTCGACGGCTTGCTCGCCACCCTCTCCGCCTGTGGCAGCGAGCCCGGCACGCTCGCGCAGCGGCTCGGCGGGCGGGTGCGGCTGTACGACGCGCTGCTACAGACGCTGCTCCGTGCTACCGCCAAGGGCGCGGCGGCACAGACCC